TGATTCTTGCCTGTTGACAGACCCTGGAGAGTGGTCCCACGAGTCATATTAACACTCCAGTCACCTTCATCACCAGGTTGTTCCATAGCAACACAGACAGCAACCGCATCTCCTTTCTCAACATGGGCAGTGCAAGCCAGTACACCTGGAACATAGACCTACCAAAGGAGCCATAAGAGAAATAAGTACATATTTGTTCACTTAAAGCCCGGAGTTTCTCACCTAGATTGTCAAAAACTATAACGAAATACAACCAAGATAGGGATTCATATTCCAAACCAACTCCCAACAGCATAGTAACAGGATAGAAGCTTAGCCTCTCAATGGAATACCTTAAGCCCGAATAATTTCATTGAGAGAAAGTCAAGGTTACCTGGGCTCCTCTTAGAACTGCTTCAGCACACTTCCTGCTCACTAGTACCTCCTTGGGAGGGATTTCAAGACCAGAGTCATATTCAATTCTATGTGGGCCTGAACCATTGACCAAAACAACATAATCCAAACCAGGTATCTGACACTTGGCGATGGGACTACTTCCATCTGGTTGTACAAGCTTCAAGCCCTCCTCCGAATCGTTTAAAATTTTTGTAAGCTTTTCGATAACAGCATCACTTGTTGTTTTAACTGTGTTCACCCTAATGCAGGAGTAGGAAGATGGGCGCCTAATATGGAACAAAAACAAAAAAAAAATATATAAGAGTCGAGCATAATGTACCAACACTAACTAGTGCAGACGCAAGAAGAATGTGAGAAAGTTTTTTAATTCAGTTACTATAGCTAGACTTAAAAACTGGATAATATGAAGTAGAAGCTCACACACATCACAACAACCAAAAGAGACAAAATCAATTCGATTAAGGAGAAATTCGGGAGTAATGTTGCTTTAGAAGTAGATGAGAATGATAGACAGTTGAGAAGATAAGTACGTGAGAGCCTTTGAAATGCGAGCAAAGTGATCAGGTCCATAAGCTTTAGTGAAGTAGTCTTCCACTTGAGGATTCCATCGCAGTACCGGATCATAACAGTAACGCTCCGAATCGGAAGGCTCCATCTCCATCTGATGAGAGATAGAGCGTAACTGAGAAACAGAGGAGAAGAAGGTCGTGGCTCTGGTTAAGCAAGTGGTGAGCAAAGAGGGTTTTAGCAGAACCCTCGCTTTACTCATTCAAGGCGGAAGAGAGAAAAAGAGCTCCTTGAAGAAGAAGGGAAGATACTTGTTTTTAGAGCTTTAATGGTGGATGGGCCTTTGGTTGCAAAGAGTAAGCCCATCAGATTCATCTGCTTGTTTATTTACTTTTGTATAAAAAGGTCCAAAAATGTTAGGTAGAAGAAGCTAAAAGGTTTGATGAGAGAGTCTTTTCCTACCAAACCCCTCCTGTGTGATGATTATTAGCTTCACCTGCCATTTTCACAATGACTGAACAAATAATACTCAGAGGTTATATAAATGGGACAGTTGGAGCTCCATTCCTCACCAGACCCCTTTTGCAAGGTTATCCCTTTTTCTCTCTCTCTCTCATTTGATTTCACTTTTAGCTTCTTCACTTTTGTGAGAGGTTGTTGGGTTTAGGTTTTGCCACTTTTATGTATTCGTTTTTATCCATTTATTCGTTGCTTGGAAGAGTAGAATTTTAGTTTGAAATGCTCATTCTACGATCATAAAGTTTATATTTTGAATAGAGTTTGTGTTCTTGTTTTTGGTGGATGCAGTATAGAACAATCTTGGGAGGTTTGTAAGTTCGTAAATTTTGGCATTTGTCACATTGGGTCTGAAGTTTTGTGGAATTTCTTGCCAGTGTAGTTTGGTCGTTTGAGATCGTTTTTCATATCCGACTCTTTCAAACTCATGTGCTTTTTTTTACCAGATTAGTAAGTTGTTGTTGACGTTTGAGAAAGCTGGAGATGTCTCAAGGAGATCAAAACATTGATGAGCCGGTAATCTTTCCTTTTTCAGTCTTTATACTGTGTATTCTTCTTCATGATTCAGTCGTAAACCATCATCAAACGTTTGGAATCTGGCACTCTTACAGGTTGTTATTGAGGAAAAAGGTTCTGTGAGATTGACTGTTCTAAACCGCCCTCGTCAGCTGAATGTCATCTCTCCGGAAGTGGTACTTTAAGATTTAAGATCAGAAGCTGATAATATTGTCCTCTTCTAGATGCTGAAAGCCGCCTAATCGAAAAATTTGAAACTCAGGTCCTCAAGCTTGCAGAATATCTCGAATTGTGGGAGAAGGATAACCAAACAAAGCTGATATTGATCAAGGTTTGATTTTTTTGGTCATTGGCTGTTGATGATTTTCTACTACTGTAGATTAATTTCTTAACATAGCTTATTTGTGCAGGGTGCAGGTAGAGCTTTCTCCGCCGGTGGTGATCTAAAGGTGTTTTATCACGGCCAGGAATCAAGTAAGAAGCTAACAGAATCATCATGTTTTATCAAAAATAACACATTCGAAGAGATTTTGACATAACTGAAGGATGATATGTCGTTTTTAACAGAGGATTCTTGCCTTGAGGTTGTTTACCGGATGTACTGGCTTTGCTATCATATCCACACATACAAGAAGACACAGGTGGGTTTTAGTATTGCTCCAAATTTCATTGTATGAAAGTGTCTTCTTGAGGAGTATTTAACTGAATGGAATTGTATAGGTTTCTCTTGTTAATGGAATATCGATGGGTGGAGGTGCATCATTGATGGTTCCAATGAAGTTTTCAGTTGTGACAGAGAAAACTGTGAGTTTTAAGTTTAGTCTGCTTCACATTTTATTTGTGTATAATGGCACAGTAACAAGTATAGCTTTAACTACTTTCATTGATAGGTTTTCGCGACTCCAGAAGCAAGTTTCGGGTTTCACACTGATTGCGGGTTCTCCTACATCCATTCACATCTTCCTGGTCATTTAGGTAACTGCTAAACCAGTAAAAAAAAACAAATGTTGTTTCCAGCTAGGCATTGGCGAATATCTTATGTACTTTGAGTTTTGCAGGAGAGTTCTTGGCTTTAACTGGGGCAAGATTGAACGGCAAAGAACTTGTAGCAATTGGAATGGCAACACATTTTGTACCTTCTGGTGTGAGTGTTTGAGAATGCTTTCCTTAGATTTGATTGATTTAGGATGTACATATATCCGCTAATGTTATTGAGCTGTCTTGCAACTTTACATTTATCATCTGAAACTTTAGCAATGTTTTTGGAATCTCTGACTATTATCCTGGAGCTTGAATGCGGACAGATTCTACAGTTGTTCTAGAAATGATGAGTGGAATGCTTTCTTTCACATCTTTTCTTATTGTCAGAAATTGATGGATCTGGAGGCACAGCTTGTGAGTTTAGACTCAGGAGACGTGGATGTAGTCCGATCCACAATTGAAGAATTCTCCGAGAAAGTCAACATTGACAAAGACAGCATCCTTAACAAGTAAAACATCTTTTATATATATTGCATTTCTTCATGCTTGAGACTCTTTAATCTTTTTCCCCACTGGTGTGTATACGCAAGAAGACGGTATTAACTTTGGGCTATGGCTGATCTGCAGGCAGTCTGTAATCAATGAGTGTTTCTCAAAAGAAAGTGTGAAGCAAATCATACAAGCATTTGTAAGTCTTCCGATTTTCCTGGAACAGAAGTCATTCCGGCTCTATTCATCGGTATGAAATATATCTGGTCCTCTTACAGGAAGCTGAAGCAAGCAAAGAAGGGAATGAATGGATTACTCCAGTCATCAAAGGTCTAAAGCGATCGTCACCCACAGGGTTGAAGATAGTACTGCGATCGGTAATTGTTATTTGTTAGATGATTTCCTTGTTATCATATACTTCTTGGTGTATCTCTCCATTGAAATTTAACGGTGAACAAGAATACCCTGTCAAGTTCATAAAGCACTAATATTGGTTGAGAAAATGGTTTAACTTTCGAGCTAATGTTGTAAAATGGCATAAAGTTGAAGGCTCTGGCCAACAATAATCAGCAATTCTTGTTACGTACTTGTGACATATATGAGTCTATTCTTTCGTAAATTTTTCCCTGCAGATTTCCTCTTAGTGTTGGAATTGAGTGATTCTTGCTGCCTAAATTTTCCAGATCCGTGAAGGTAGGAAACAAACGCTGAGTGATTGCCTGAAGAAAGAGTTTCGGCTCACCGTGAATATCTTGAGGAAAACCATATCCCCTGATATGTATGAGGTAGAAAACAGATGCAAATACTGCAATCATTTATGGTTTTGCGTTTTAGGAAATCGTAGCATCATGATACTATTACTACTGTATATTCTTTTTCTGATTCTGTGTAATAACTCGCAGGGTATAAGGGCTCTGACCATAGACAAAGACAATTCTCCAAAGGTATGTGTCCACTCGAGAAAGCAATATTTGAGTTACTTAGAACCGAAATCGCATCTTACATACTTACAAGCTTCTATGATTGGGTTTGGTGCAGTGGAATCCAGCGACATTAGATGAGGTGGATGACGAGAAAATCAACTCGGTGTTGAAGCCCTTTGAGGATGATATTGAGCTTCAAATCCCTGAAACAGAAGAAAACAGGTCGGTTTAAGGGATAGTAAACCCAACTCTGAAACTTTCTTTTGAACTGAAGGATTCCTGAGAAAACAATCCCTTATGTTTTGATAATGTGCCATTGGAAATTCACAGGTGGGGAGGCAAATACGAGACTTCAGGCTATGCATCTGTAAGAGGATAGTATAGAGCATGTGTTCCAGTTTCAAAACTTTATCCTACAAACTGAAACTCCACGTGTGTTGTATTATTACATAATGTGTTGCTTGAGGCTCAGACTCATGCAGCGATGATTAAATAAGGTTTATGTATGTGTAAAACATTGGTCGCCTTGATATAATTAGAGCGCAGGTGTTTTTACCAATAATAGTCAATAGTAGTTATCATTTTCAAATGATGTCTTCTCCACACAAACAAAACTAATCAGCAGTTTAATATTAGTGTTAAGATTAGATAAAGGAAGTCACGTTTAGGACGTTGAAACAGCCGCGGCCAATTTGGACAGCTCTAAATTTGCCCCTTTTATCTCTCACTATATATCTCTCCTCTTTTTTTTCTTATAATTTCCTACGTCTGGTCGAATAAAACACGCAACAGAGACAGAGTAAAACAATGGCCGACTCCCTTTTGCAAAAGGCCACCTCTGCCCTTGGTGAAGCCAAACAAACCGTTATCGCCTCTGCTGAAAACGCCAAGACCGATGTCGTGAAGGATGCAGTTGACAATGTGGTGTCAAGAGGCATAGATGGAGCCAAAACCCTGTTGCACGGATTGGAGGAGAAGAAAGGTGAAGTCTCCTCCAAAATCTTGGGCGCTGTTACACACTTTACCGGTAGCGCTGACTCAGCAGCCACAACCGCAAACCGTGACTTACCCGTATCCACAGACGATCAGGTTCCAATCGAAACACCAAAAGAAAACTTCAAATTCTTATATATCTTGGGCCAAAATTAGATAGGAGACAAAGACAAGAGTCTAATAATACTCGTATTTAATATAATTGCAGCCACTCCTAGCGGCAGGTGATCGTGAGGTCGAGACGCCATGGTGGAAGAACTGTTGTGGAGTTCTTGATCTTCTCAAGGCATCATCATCGTCATCAGCTACTTGAAGAAACAGAGGAGAGAAAAAGATCCCACCCAGTTTTCAAACTATGTTCTGAGTATTTACTTCCGTTTTCTTGAGAGTGATTTCGGATTGTGTCGTTTACTTTTAATTCCTCTTGCTGTTTTTCATAAACTTGTGGTTTTTTTTTTCAATCTTTTGATTGTTGCCAAGAACATTTGTAATGAAGAAAAAGTAAGCAAACACACAATAAAGAAGACTCCAAAATTGTGAAACCAATCAAATTCTCGAGCACAGAACAAGAAAGTTACGTAGGAAACACTTTTGAAACAAAGAAATCAAATTCATATAAAGTCTACCTCGAAATCAACCCCTCCTCGAGTGGTAAATGTAGCAGACAACAGCTGCTCCCGCCACTGCAACTGCAACCGCTGCCAAAGCTCCACCAGAACCAGCACTAGTCACAGTCGGCGACCATGACTTGAACTCAATACCATTAAGGGGCTCAACCATATTCTTCAATCCACTGATCATCTTCTCAGCATCATCCATCTGTTTCTGTAACTCCACAATCTCTGATTCCAAAGCCACCACCTTCTTCTCTGAATCTTTCAACGCCTCTTCCACAACCATCTTCTCTGAAATCCACTTCTGCAACTCTGCTTTCCCTTTAGCTACATCTGATTCCAAACTCTTAATCTTCTTCTTCAAATCATCCACCTCCTTCTCCTTACTGTCAATCTTCTCCCTCATCTCTTCCTCTGCTCGGAACTTTTTGTTCTTCTCCTCTAACTCCTTCACCTCCAAAGCACCAAGCTTTGTCTCCAATTCCTTCATTCTCTTCTCATTCTCCTCCTTAACAGTCCTTAAACCAGCGACCTCTTTCTCCAATTCCTCAATTCCATCACCTCTCTGTGAAATCTCAGAACGGAGCTTCTCCGCCTCCGCCGTAACGTCTTCTCCTTCCGTCTTTGCCGTGATCAGTTCATGCTGCAACCGTGCAACTTCGGTCTCTAACTCCGAAGCTCTCGAAGCTATGGCTTCAAGAACCTTCCTCTCCTCATCGGACTTGTCAATCTCTCGCTCCATCTCACCCATCTTACGCCTGGCCTTGGATTCGGCTCCTCTCAGCTCCTCGATCTCCGCCTTCAAGCTCTCGATTTTACGACTGATTTCATCGTTATCTCTGGCCAGTTCCTGATTCAGAGACTCGAGCTGTCCGATCTTACGATTCAGTTCCGTGGACTTGCCGTCATCGGCTTGTTGATCAGAATCGAAGAAACTCTCATCCTCCTGCCCAGTCGCTTCGCCGTTGAAGCTCCTCTCTTCCGCCATCTCCAGCAACAGCGAGAAAAAGGATCGGAAAATCGAATCGAAGGAGGAAAGTGATAAACCCTAAAGATGCTCGCTGAAAAAACCAACTCAAATAGAGGAAATTGGGCAAGGAAAGTTTCGATTTTTCTTTTATCGAAAAAAAAAACGAAGAAAGGTTTCGACTTTTTCTCTGATTCTCGTAAACAAATAATAAAAGGATATAAGCCTTTAACTTTCTGCGATTTCGATGCAATTAGGGTTTTGGGTTGCCCACAGAGCAATCTTAACCGATCAAGTCTGATCTGATACGAATGGACGGCTAAAAATCAAAGGAAACAGTCCGATTTGGTAATGCAATGATTCGGAGAAAAAGGTTTAAAGTTTTCTAAGCACGTGTACACTACCTTTGTTATTTGTTCTTCGGAAAAAAGGTTTAAAGTTTCTAAGATTTTTGTTCTTTTTCTATTAACAAATTATATATGCATACATATACATTGATTATTTCAAAAAAAAGTTGATTGTTTCAATATACGAATGTTCAACTGTAATCGTGGATGGTCGTATTAGAATTAACCAACCAATATCCTAATCATAGTATATAGCTTGTAAGCTTAGATTTATGTTTTGCTGAATGCCAAAAAATTCAATTTCTTAAAGAAATATTTGTGGATTACGAAAATATCAAAACCTAATAGTAATATTCGAAGACTCTTCAACTTTCAGGTCATATGAAACTCGAGAAAATTTAGAAAACATAGCTAGCGCATAATAAGTTTTAAGTGTTACATGTTTAGTGTTTGTGAGTGTCTTTTTTTTCTTTTCTTTCTGGAATGTAATATTTTCCGATGACAATTTGGATATCGATTATAGATGTAATTTATGAAAATTAAATGATATTCGGTTTGTTTACTTTTAGTCAATAAAAATGATCCCATAGCCTACCAAAAAATAAAAAAAGGTCCCATAGAGAAAAATACAGTATGTAGATGTGTTGATTTGGGCTTTTTACTGAAGCTTATTTAATTTAATAAAGGGCCCATAAATTTCGGCACGTATAAATGATTTGCGAATTTAGGAGGCCCAGCTTAGTCTCTGCTCTCTAGTTAGCGATCTTACATAAAAAATATCATACGTATCGCTTCACTTTGATAAGAATCTCTCGAACCTACTTAAATTCCAAATTGGACCAAACCAAGTGAAACATATTTTAGTGTAACCAAACCCGAGCTAGAAGTTTTTAATAATTATATCAAACCGCACCCAAACCAGAGCTAAAAAGGTTTGATTTCGGTAAAACATGAACTAAACTGAACTGAATTTTATTTTAATTGCCTATGTATCCCTTAGGTCACACTACATTTGATCGTTATGGTAAGAGTTGTTGTCGTAGCAAATTTCTTCACCAACAATACTGACCTCCTCCTTAAGCCACATGTATCATACATGATACATGTCTCATCAGTAGAAAGTAGAAACAGTACACATAATGTAATGAGAACAAGTCGGGAGATCTATTTAATTATTTGATTAGAGATGATGTTGTACAGAATATATATACATTAATAATAATATACAAAAATTTGGCATATTAAATTATTATAGTAGCGCCAAGGGGACTGCGCAATAAATAAATACCATGAGCCGTTTTCTTTTTGTGGTCTATCTACAACTTTAATGAGCTCAAATGTACAAATTTCACTTATGATGATACCAGCATATAGTTTGACCACAAATCCAATATAAAACAACCGACCAAATATTTTCAGTTATTTCTTATACTGCAAGCTTGAAATAATGTCCCATTGTTTTAATTCCTTGTTATCTTGAAATGATGGGTTGTTAAATGTTATAAATTGTGCGGTGGTTGTGAAAATCTGTATATTTGAGCCAAGAGCATAAAGTGCATGATATAAGTTCGTAGAAAACCCACCCAAAAAATGAAAAAAATGGTTTTTGTAAAGTGCTTAAGCAAAACATTCAACGAAATCGGCATGCTCTTAACTACCTCACCAATTATATTTTTTTCCGCAACATTTGCATGCACGTTTCTCCTCCATTAGATTCTTTGTTCAAATTTATTTTATTGCCACAAGCAATAAAATAATAAATAAATAAATGGAAAATATATAGTCAACATGCATTTTCTCGTTAGTCACCTACCCGACCAGTCTCACTAATATTGTTGCGTACTGCCTGAGGAGGAAACTCCTTTTTTCTCGTTTCTGTATTGGGCGGTAAAAAAAATTCAAAAGTCGTTGATTTGAACCGAGGCTTTATGGGTTTATGGTTTTAACATATGCTTTGAATGACTAGTTAATTAGTCAAACGTTCCAAAACTATCGTTACATGTATGGGAACAAATATATAACATGTTAATAAATGGTATTAAGTTCCATGTATTGGTTGATGTCACAAGTCGTGTTCCATTGTTTGTCTACTGATGACCAATCTTCAATTTCTAACAATATATTCGTGTTTTTAGCTTCATCGGCTCACTAACTAGACCGGATCAAAAATAGTTGACTTTATGCAACAACACTAATTGAGACTCGAATTTATATCCTTTTACAATGGATGGAAAATATACATCCACAACCACCCAAAATTATTAACACATGTTAAATCGAATCTAATTTAGATCATTAGCTATTATAAGATACTTAATTAGACCATTCCATTGCATAACTTTTGTAGATGTCTTAACATAAATTTAATTATAAATTATATAATGGGTGTCTAAAAGACAATAAGAATTCAGTAAAAATGTTTTGATGAAGACACTTTAGATATAGAGTCTCATATATTTTCTAAGGAAATAATTTTACAATATGAACATTTATTTTTTAATTATTTTGTAAGACACTCTCCTCAATATGCCTAATGAAGACGGTCTTAATTAGTGGTGTTGATGATATGTATTCTTCAAGTAAAAAGGAAGAACATGCAAAGATGACGATGATTATTGTCTTTAATTATTGTGAGTTATGGATCTAAGCTATAGATTATAGAAAATAAACTACTTGGAGAATTTTTCAGAAATTAGTTTTATCTTATTTAATTTTGTTGTCAATAGTTTCTTTTATTTTTGTGGTGAAGTCTTGACGATAGCATGCATATGTATCCTTTTTTGGTAACACGCTATGCACGTCAGTGCATGTCTTCAATACTTAGTGGTGTTGACTTTACGTTATAGGGATCTATTTAACCTCACTACGATCCTTAACTGAGAAAAGGGATCTATTTAACCTCACTACGATCCTTAACTGAGAAAAAAAAAAATCCCGTGCAATACTACCGATTTGGATTATATCATTTATATTTATATGTAAACTTCGTTTGTCTCATATAGTCATATGTAATCAATGACAATAACCAAAGCGGTAGTAATACAATTTTACAAGTAGGAAGAATCAAAATCAAAACAGTCCAAAACTACCTGGTAGTCCAGTAACAGGCGATTTGGCTATCCCTGACATTAGTCGGAAAACATTTGAAACTCGGGACAAACAGTATGGTGGTCTTTTGGGGAGAAGTCCACTCTAAAGCACTTCGGTGCGTTTCTATCGGAGCTGACCGGATCAGCCGATAGAATTTATAAAAAAAAAAAAACGGTCCAAAACATATGCCAAAAAAAAAAAAACACGTTGAAGAGGTAAGGATCGATATCGACGTGACTATTTTAAATTGAAATATTCGTTACGTGTACGCGTAAACGACAGCGAGTCTTTTTTTTTTTTTTTTTTTTTTAATGATGATGTTATCCATTTCTATGATTCCATAATTTCCATTACCTATTTACCTTAACATTCAGTTATGCGTACTATCTCAGTAATCAGTATGTATCCGTCGATACTTAGATCTTAGGTTTTGATGCGTATAACTGACTAACTAATTGATATACGCAAATCAATGTGCGTATGGTTTTGACGTTATGATTACCTGATTTGCTACATATCATCTTATATGTAATATAATCATTATATTTCGTTTTCTAAGAAAGGACAACGATATTAATGGGAAACCAGCATGAATACGAATTGAAGAAATGATACCACGCTTACATAAAAAAAAAAAAAAACTCATCATATACATTTCAGGATCTATATGTTCTATCATTCTACGATGTCGAAGATCTAAGAAAAAAGTAAAAAGAAATCGTCATTCTAATTCGTGTATGTTTTGCTTCATTAGAAATATTACAGTATCCATTTGGTTTTTACTATTTTGGGATCTTTTCGATTGAATTAGATAGCAAAATAATGTTTTTAGAAAGTGGACTTTTGAAGAGTTTATATTGGCCTTACCGGCCTAAAGCGGAAGAAACCTAAAAAGTGTAGAAAAAGAGTAAAATGGTATAACTACGAGGAAAACAATGACCGGAAGAAGAGAAAGTCAACGAAAAAGTGGAAAGTTGGTAGAAAGAAGAAACCTGACAACAGAGAGAAGAGAGAAGACGCAATTTTCAAAGCAAAAAAATGGACGAACGTGAAAGGTAAAAAAAAAGGTCCGGCATTTTCATAAACAAGTTTTACGTTTTTATGCATCCAATTCACATTTCTCTATGCCTTCATCAATTTCATTTACTCTTATGTCTGCAGGGTCATTTATTGTTTGACTTTTCCATCTACTATTCATGCATACGTTGACATATTTGCTCATTTATTTATCATAGATCATAACTATGGAATTAGTCTCACATCGATTAAGGTTTCAAATGGTTATCACGAAGCATGGATAGGTAAGCAAAATTTATGCAAACTACATTTACTTTTAGTGATAGCGCGCGACGTTTACAATGGATACAAAAACAAATAAAAAGGATAAACATCCAATTTTCGAATCATACAAGAGTTGCAGTACAATTGAAGATTTAGTGATGTTCGGTTGTATTTGTTATGGTTGCCGACAGAGAGATATGTAAATTTCTTCTGATATCGATATGTTGGTAATTAATTTATCTCACTAAGTTTGGTCCTATTAATTAGCGAAAGTAATGAGACATGTATAGGTAAGGTTAGACTAATAATTGTATATATTATGATTTTGGACTGTACTTGCATTGCATAATATATCATGAGTCATGACATAAGTGGTCGTTGGCTTTAAGATTTGAAGTTCGGTATGTCTCATTTATTCGTAAATGTCATGTCTATTGGTGATAATCAATGCTCGTACGGATAACAAGTTTTACCTGATGCCACACAAAAAAAAAACAAGTTGGATTATTTTTCTTAGAAACATGTATTTTTCCGTAAGTATTTCCAATGTCAAGAAATTTGCATTTCCGATTTCAAATACAAACAAATATATATTTCCAATTCATTCACAATAGTTTTTAAATAAAAACGTTTGGCCATAGATATTTAAACGTTTGTTTGGATGCACTAAGATCATTCAACATTTCCATAAGAACAACACACACAACTTTATTTTTAATATATAGTCAAATATTCAGTTGCAGTCTTTCAGATGATGTGTTATAATAAAAACTCTCCCCTCTTTACGTAAAAGCTGACAATTCTATTACTTATTTCACCTCTCTGAGACTTGTCAAAATTTGATCTATGCATAACTCATATTATTTTTCAACAAAATTTACTTAAAAAGGAAAAAACATTACATTTTGAAAAGTATGCAAATTTGTAGAAAAGAAGGGCCGGTCACCAACTGCGTAACCTAACTTGTTAAAGCTCTTCCATATCTTGGAGTTGGCAGAAAAAAGTGCATCTTTTGAAACTTTGGGAAAAAATCAATATAAACATGCGCGTTAATTATGCGCCTTGTTTGAAAAATCGCTAAACGCTAGTCGGATATTCGGTATGAGTCTAACGATTAATCAAAAAATCGGATTAAAATCAGAGATTAGTCAGAGATTAGTTTTAGGGTTATTTTAATATTTTTAAAAACAATTAATCCAATATTGTTTTCAAAATTGCAGTAAACACATAAAACTGTATTTTAAAGATAATTTTTTCTGATTTTTATTAAAATTTGAACATAAGTTATTGTAAAACATCACAAACTCCCAATTTAAATGATTGCATAACAAAAATAAATTGGGATATGTAAAATTAGGCGGAGAGTAATCAGATTAGGCGGGAAGTAATCGGATTAGGCGGAGAGTAATCGGGTAACTGATTTCTTTAGGGGATTAGTCATTAATCGAGACGGATAGGGTGGACCTAATGATTAAGCGGGGAGTAATCGGGTTAGGTAGATATTTTTAGAACGGGATCGTGTTCACATGAGGTTATGTTAGCATATATTCTGCGATTAGGTTAGGATCAAATTAACTGTTATCCACTATGAAATATATATATATATATATATATATATATATATATATATATATATAAAATAAATGTATATATGGATGACGGTTGACTTATGAGACTATACGTTATAACTTTTTGTTATTAATAAAAGATTAAAAGTGCATGTATATATTATATGGGATAAGAAGATATTTTGTCTTAGGGTTAGTGGCAAACACATATATATATATATATATATATATTTTTTTTTTTTGGATTTCTAACTGATCATATATAGGTTTTCAATGATTGCATTGTAATAAGATTAGTATGGTTGACATGATTTATATGTTGAGCGTCAGATTAAACTTATAAGCAAAAATCCCACATCAAAAGTTTTTTTCGTTTACGATAGTTAATTACATGATTGAATTTCTAGCCTACGTCCTCGCTATTGATACAATAAGTCGACATATTCAACACTTGTGATAATAAGAATTGAAATTCCTAAGCAAATAGCTTAAACACATTATAGTAAACTAAATACTTTGTAATTTTAGAGAAAAATGTGACTCTTTAAGTTTTCATTTTTTTTGTGGCCTTAAACAATTACTTTTTATTTTTGCTAACACATGCAGCATGGCTCTGCCCCAAAGCCTCCAAGTGGAAGCTGAGAAAGCAACGCAACGTTCAACAGTTTTAGTAAAGCGGCCAACTTGCATCATTCACAACATAAATACTACAAAGTGTCATGCGTACTTGCGTAGACGATAATTAATAACCTTGGACTATACGGTACTTTATTATATTAGGTGTATAGGATAATGCATTGTTTCATTCGTTATATAGTATGTGATATCTTGAATTTACGTATGCAAAATATAGGTATAATCATCAACCATAACTTCTTGGGAACAATCAAAAACACATTCTAGCTAATTTTAAGTTTTAAAAATAAAGAAAAAGGATTCATAGACATTGTGGCGTACAGTTAATGCGAGAGAGATGTGTGGGTTAACCAAAATTAAAGAAAAAAAGTTAAAAAGCAAAATAAAAAAAAAAAAAAAAAAAAAGGGTCAACCTTCACACCACCTTTGCACTCGCCTATCATCATCAGTCACTTATATAAAACCTCCTCTGTTACTTCTTTGTCTTCTCCAACACATTTACTCTTCTTCTTCTTCTCTCTCTAAGCCATAGCTATGGTTTTACCAGAGCTTCTAGTGATTCTAGCAGAATGGGTTCTTTACCGTCTTCTTGCTAATTCATGTTACAGAGCTGCTAGAAAGCTTAGAGGCTATGGTTTCCAATTGAAAAATCTCCTAAGCCTCTCTAAATCACAATCTCAACACAACAACTCTCATCATCAACACCAGCAACAACAACAACAAAATCAGCAAAACCAGTCTCTTCAAGATTCTCTAAACCCTATCTTCCCAAGCATTACAAAGTACCAAGAACTTGTAGACAAAAACAGAGCAGGCTCTGTTTCGTCTGATCATCATCTTGATACCTTTGTCTGCGACGTCGATGGTGTTTTATTAAGACAACATTCGAGCAAACACTTCCACACGTTCTTCCCTTACTTCATGCTCGTGGCTTTTGAAGGAGGATCGATCATCAGAGCGATCCTTCTCTTGCTCTCTTGTTCTTTCCTCTGGACTCTGCAACAAGAAACCAAACTCAAAGTCCTCTCTTTTATTACCTTCTCTGGTCTTAAAGTCAAAGATATGGACAACGTTTCTAGATCGGTTCTACCCAAATTCTTCCTCGAGAACTTGAATCTTCAGGTGTACGACATCTGGGCTCGAACTGAGTACTCCAAAGTTGTGTTCACGAGCTTGCCGCAAGTGCTGGTGGAGAGGTTCCTCAGAGAACATCTCAACGCTGATGATCTGATTGGGACTAAACTGCAAGAAATAGAAGTCATGGGGAGGAGATTCTACACAGGCCTAGCTTCTGGGTCTGGTTTCGTCGTGAAACATAAATCAGCTGAAGACTACTTCCTCGACAACAAGAAGAAGCCTGCTCTTGGAATTGGATGCTCTTCAAGCCCACAAGATCACATCTTCATCTCCATTTGCAAAGTAATTTCCTTTCCTTTTAAGGTTTAAAGTTAAATTTCCTACAAGGTCACATCTTCATCTCTGTTTTCTTTACTTTTCAAATTTCACAAAAATAGATCAAATTTTAGAGCTTCTTATTTTGCTCTTGATTTCCCACAACTGCCACAAGATCACATCTTCATTACTATTAGCAAAGTTGCTTCCTTTTTCCATTTTATGTAATTCCCAAATTCACAAAAGTAGATGAAAGTCACTAACTATCAGTTTGTTCTGAATCTCCCCCACAGGAAGCTTATCTTTGGAATGAAGAAGAGTCCATGAACAAGAACAACACACTGCCTAGAGAAAGATACCCAAAGCCATTGATATTCCACGACGGGAGGTTGGCTTTCTTGCCAACACCATTAGCTACATTAGCTATGTTCATATGGCTCCCTATCGGATTCTTCCTCGCTGTCTTCAGGATCTCGGTAGGAGTCTTGCTTCCTTACCATGTAGCCAATTTCTTGGCTTCTATGTCCGGTGTTAGGATCACTTTCAAGACTCATAATTTGAATAACGGTCGTCCAGAGAAAGGTAAAAGTGGAGTCTTGTATGTATGCAACCATAGGACCCTCCTTGACCCAGTTTTCCTCACCACTTCGCTTGGAAAGCCCTTGACCGCGGTTACTTACAGCCTAAGCAAGTTCTCCGAGCTCATAGCACCTCTCAAGACGGTTAGCCTTAAAAGAGATAGGAAGAAAGACGGCGAGGCAATGCAGAGGCTATTAAGCAAAGGAGATCTAGTGGTTTGTCCCGAAGGAACTACTTGTAGAGAGCCTTATCTACTAAGATTCAGTCCTCTGTTCGCTGAGTTAACCGAAGACATTGTTCCCGTGGCTGTTGATGCTCGAGTGAGCATGTTCTATGGGACAACCGCGAGCGGGCTCAAGTGTTTAGACCCTATCTTCTTCCTCATGAACCCTAGGCCGGTTTATTGTCTTGAGGTTTTGAAGAAGTTGCCAAAGGAGATGACTTGTGCAGGAGGCAAGTCAAGCTTTGAAGTTGCGAATTTCATACAGGGAGAACTTGCTAGGGTTTTGGGATTTGAATGCACTAATCTCACAAGGAGGGATAAGTACTTGGTTCTTGCTGGAAATGAAGGCATTGTCAGATAAAATAATCCGAATTTTCATTAGTTTTGTTTGTTTGTTTGAAAAGCAAAATATTATTGTTATTTCAGGACTTAGATGTTTAATTCTATATGGTTGATTCATTGGCATCATTTCTATTTCTTATCACTCGGGACCATTGATATGTATTGGAAATGTTTGCTTTATATGATTTTGTTTCTGGATTTGTATAGTCCATAACTTCAACCTGTCGCTTTAATGCCATCAATTTTATACTATAACTAATGAAATGATTTCATAGTTAGTTGAAATCAATATTAAATGTGTACATCTAATTGTATGTTATTCTTTACTTAATCATGCTCCGAAGTATTGATATCACATTAATAATCATCATCCCACAACAACAACATTAACGTGAACGACCATATTAACTTCATATCACATCAAAATTTAATGTAGCACCTTAGAAGATATCAATATTCACACCAAGAAAATGACTATATACCTGTCTAAGCAGACTGATTAAAGAAATGGTAAATTAACTTTTCATACCAAGAGTGGTTTCATTTCTTTAGTTCACTGTGCTGCGCTGGTAAGTAATGCTTAATGCACACTAACTGATGTTTGCCTCCTTGCAAATGATATCTGCGATTCTACACAAGCAAAACATATCTAAATGGACTAAGTAATGCTGCAGTGATTAGAAAGTAATACTTAGTGATGTTTTGAATGCATTACCTTTCCCTCACACGACGAATCTCTTCAAGAATTTCTGCAGTCTGCTGAACCTTTAGATTCTTGGGTTTATCTTCATGATTAAGCACCAAGAATGCAACATTCACAACCGTGACTAGTTCAGCTTCGATTCTGCTAAGTTTCTGGTCTAAACTTTCCAAGAAAGATTCATAAGAAGACACTTCTTTAAGGATGCTACCAGTTGAAACATCTTCTAGTACATGATTATCGGTATTGAGAAGTTCTTGGTAATCCTCAGAATTCCTTTCAATAAGTTGACTTCCCTCAGAATCCAAGTGAGTGTAGTCATTTGCGTGCCCGTCTTCAGTAGATTTGGGCTTTGGCGATACAATGTGGATTCCACCTGAAGTACTATTCTCTCCATCCTCTTCGAGATCCAAAGATATATTGCCTATCAGCTGTGTTTCCTTGACAGATATTGCCTGAAACCAAACCAAGCTTCTCAAGACATGGTTAGATAGGTTTCTTGGACAATTGAAACAAACAACCAACCAAAACTATAATATTTCGTTTTTTAAGTCTTTTTCTCAAACAGGTTATACACAACAGAACTAGGACTGCTGAGATAACAAGTAAGCTCTTGTTTGTATCTACCTCGTTAAGTTTAGAAGAAAGCGTATCGAGCAACTCAATACGAGCTTTGGCCTTGTCCAAAGCTTGCATAACCTTTTTCTTCTGAAGAAGTAACTCTCTTGCATCATTCTCTTTCCCTGTTTGAACATTCACAGCTGCTTGTTTCCGTAGATTCTCAGCAGCCTCAGATAATCTCAGAAGTCTCAACCTATTACTGTTTGCTGGACCAACAACAACAAGAGACAAAAAAAAAAAAAAATCAAAAGTCTAAGACTTTCACATGACACATGTTCAGATACCATAAAGACTCATATGGATTTGCTTTCATTCATTCTAGATTTTGGGTATCTAAAGCCAGGAAACGACGATTGATTCACTCCACTGAGTCCAATTAAAACGAATAAAGATTCGACCTTTGGCACGGGTGGACTCTGCCTCCGCGTGAAGCCGATCGAGCTTGGAGCGAAGAAGGTCGGAATTTGCTGTGACGCAGAAGCACCGAGACCGAGCAACCACCACCAGAGCTCCGCCGATGCCCGTCGTCACCATCTTTGGTCTTCTTCTTACAAAGCAACACGCGCGGGGATTGCAGGGGGGACCTTTCTTTCTTTGCAGTGAGATGTTATCCGGTTAGTTCTGAAAACCGGTATTGAAGAATAATAAACCGGCTAAACCGTGGTGGGAAAATGAATTGAGGATGAGATTAAACCGTCACAGACTTTTCCAGCTTTGACGTCTCCGTCCCATAGATCGAGAATCTCCTGGCGTTTTGCAATCCTGTTTGGTATCAACCAGTTCTCTCTGTCAGATTTACCAGGTAAATTTTGAATCTTGGATCGGGTTTTTGTCAATTTCAGATTTGTAATCTCCCGCTTCTCCACTGTAGGAATCGATCAGATATGAACTGGGTTCAACGCAAAATCTACCTTTATAATGTCACATTCGGGCTCTACATGCTTGATTGGTGGGAACGATATCTCTTCAGTATCCTTTTTTACTTTCTCTATCCCTCTATGCTTGATTCGTTCTCTTCATCGATCTACTCTTCCATTAGAAAGATGCAAGTTTTGATTTTTACATCGTTGGTGATATGATATATGGTGGCATTCAATTCTGTTCTCTTGTGTTGTCGTCTAAAGCATCAGTTTTAGAATTTTGTTTTCATGTTAAGAGTTTGGATTATAATCTCTCTACTTAATGAATAATTTACTACTTTCAATTGCGATTACGTTGATAAGTTATACCCTCTGGAAGTGTTAAAGTTTGGCTTTTTAGGACTTGAGATCTCTGCTTGCATCTTCTTTGTCTTTCCTCAACTCTTTTCAGATTCTTTGGTGGTAGTTTTGATGTGGTTCGTTATATACAACGGTACTCGCTACTTTTCGGAGCTTTTCCAGAGGTATAAAACTTGATCCTTGTTTGTGCACACCTTTTGGTTGTTAAGTTTTCCTTGGCACTAATTTTGCTTTTTGTTGCAACAGTTTCTCGTAACTTATCTAATTCTTTTTGCTAGCTTGGTCTTATGGGTTCATTATCGGGTTTCTAAGGGATGAGTGTTATGATACAATATGCTGTTTGGCCTCATCTTCATCTCTGAAACAAGATTCACGGTTTCCCATGATTCCTAGTTTATGTTTTCCTAGGATTTTTGCAAGACAAAAGATGGTTCATGTCTTATACACTACCTTACCTTCTCTTGTGCATTTAGTTGGGGTAGAGATAAATACGTCAGACCATCTGCTTAATCCTCCCCATAGTTTGCCTGATGAATTGACTGCTGCTTGCTATCTGAATCTTTCTTAGGCTGTTTTGAGAAACGTTTGAAGCTCTATCTTGATAATTTTCTATTTGCACTCACAGCTCAAGTACATTCTTTTATCCGCTCATTGCAGGCATTTGACATGAAAACAGGTCTTGTTTCTTGCACAGTAGAGCACCAAAAAGCCTGGAACCTTCAAAGGCATGCATGTTTGGTTTCAATTCTGAGACGTATACCAGCAAAATCCCCTTTTTCGGCATCACCTCTCATTTTGTCAATTTTCCTCCAAAGGCTCTAGGACTGTTCGTATGTCTCTGTATTATTTGTTTCCAGGTTTTTGCAATTAACAGAAATGATTTGTAGACGCGTAAGATCGCAAGTCTTCCTGTTGTATTTCCAAATCACTTTGAGACATGATCTAAGCATACTTCTTTGGTTTTTGGTGTCTTTGTAACAAGTGAATGCTTCTCCCATGCTACAGAAAGTTATTCACCCTTTCGATTACAAACATAATACATATAGTTTGCAGGAGTTGAAGAACTTGCGGATTACATATAAGAGAGCATAATTGTTAAGAGGGAACTCTGTTCTAACCTAGAATACGAATTTAAGAAGAATCAGTAACCCAATCCTTTGGCAGTGCAGCGTTGAAAATCTGAAACAGTAAAGCTTGATCTCTCTTGTCTGGTCTTTTTGAACAAAATCCTTTATGCAGACCAAGTTCAACAGCTTCTCTTCCTTCTTCCGCTATTCTTTTCCTAATAGCCACCAAAGAATTTTGCGTATGAGAAGCTGCTTCGTCCTTGACATCTCCATCTCCATATTCAGTATTCTCTCCTCCAACATCTTGGCGTCCGCCTTTCTCTGGCCTTCCCCACCATTTGTTTGACACAGTTGTTAACCCGCCTGATGGGAATCCAAATTTGAACTCATCTAACGCTGCCACTGTCTTTGCCAAATTAGTGTTAGCCCATACATTGGACTTGCCACTCTTGTTCCCACCATGCTGCACCGTCGAATGCATCATCGTCCTTGGGTTGTGATTATGTTAGGAACCACTGTAATCAAGAGAAACATGAATCAAAGGGAAAGAAAAAATAAACCAGTTGGCAAGCAACAGATCAAGAAGAAGACTAAAAACCGAATAGAGAAAAGGGTTTCTCCGTTTAAAAGCAGAGCAAAATCTCAAAAGCACAAAGAAAAAATCCCAGAAGCCTCTAGAACCAGACATAGATACTCAATTCAACGCTTCCGGCTTCCTGAAATTCAATCTGTATAAGGCACCAGATCTGGAATCAGACTTTCTAGACTCTAAACGACTCAAAACGTTATGGATTTCACAAAAGTCCAGAGCTTTTCCAATTTTCATCTGTACATACCCAATGGTGGCACTAAACCCCTAATTTCACGAAGCCAAAGAGCTTTATACCAAGTATCAAGTTTAAAACATTCGGTAGAGAAACTAATCGTCAAATTTTCACAATTCACAAATACATACCAGAAAGGAAGATGGTTTTGTTGGAGTCTCGTTTGGTCTATATCAATTTTCCGACTTTCTCAGTGCTCTTCTTCAACAGTTGGATTTTGAGTGTTCGCAGATGTTTTAGAAAAGTGACAAGGATCCAAGTGTAATTTCCACTAAACCTCAATACAAATTAATGAATTATTTAGGCGGTGTTATTCAATGATGGATTTTAATAGAATTGAAATCCACAACTAATTCAGTGTTATTAACCTAATGATTCTAAACCTAACTCTAATAGATTTTAAAGTTTGGTGTTATTCAACTAAGATTTAAAATGCTTCATTAAAATCCAGTGTTATTCAAAACTAAAAGACTTGTAAAATCTTTGTATATCAAATAATTTGAAATGAAACATCTTTGGATTTCATAAGTAAATTATTAGAATCATAATCCAAAATATTCCAAAATATACTGCAGAGATTTTGAACTCCACACCAACATATTGTTAAAAACAATATCAGAAATCAATCAGTTTTGCTTCTTCCTCTGTTTTTTTTTTTTTTTGAACTACAGTCTTGTATTGCTGGAGACATTTTTTGAAGAAGACGAAATTAAAAAAAAGAGAGACATCTTTTGTTACACAGACAGATTAGTAATAGTGGTTAGAGAGGTCTTTGTATCATGTTTTTGATTCCAAAGAAATTGTCACAGACTTTTTAGTATACCTACTTGAACAAATGGCCTAGGCTGAACAACAACATTTACTATGAGTATGAGGTCTTATCTCAAGTAGTCTAAACATCTTTTCTATGTTCTCAAGGACAATCAATTAAACAGATGAAAGAAATAATTGGAGAAGACGAAGAAGAAGAGAGCGGTTTGAGCCACACTACTTGGTGGAAGGTGTATCTTTGTCTTTCTTTCCGGCGAGAATCATAGATATCTGCAGACCGCGACTGAAGGCTTGATTAAACAACAGTCTGGTTTGGAACTCGGACACAAATGGGAACCATGATAAGACCGCAATGGGTGTGAATATCACCAGCCCCATTATGTACTCATAAGCTCTCCCTAGCTCTTTCACTGAGTCCCAGAATCCTAATCCCTTGAATACGCTACGCAGCGCTTGCCCGATCTTCAAAACATAGCAACGGATTAACAAACTTATTATTCTCATGGAAAGATGAATTATTTTTGGGCAGCTAAGACTTACAAGAAGAAGAGCCCATCCAGTAGGCAAGAAAGCGAGGATCGAAGCAAAGAGATCCGAGACTGTGAGGCCGCAGACTACAAATAATAGTGTCATGATTGACAAGAAACCAAGGAAGAGAAGCACCTTGAGAATCCTGAACATAACCTGAAAATCTGTACCAAACTTCCGTCTACCCATTGATACCATCTGTCAAATAAGTAAACGACACAATCATAAATGTGAAAGTGAAAGGACAGATAAACCATTGTTCTAAAACCTGAAAGACTGTCTAATAGAGTTGGCTGAAGATTTTTTTCTGGTTTTGAAGAGGGTAAAAAAGCTTTAAAACAGATTAGTTTCGGAGCCTTACCTTTAGCACGAGAAGAACTGACAACAAGACTGCCCAAGAGAGTCCATAAACCTTAAAGAAGAAAAGGGTAAAGTTGTTGGAATTTCCAAAGCTATAGAAAAGGGAAGTATCAAAGCTTATGCCGAAATACTTTACCAGAAATGTTGTGTCGCGGTGAGCGATGTTGAGGTGGTAGACAATTCCATACTGGTAAAGGAGAAAACGCAAAGCGAGAAGTATCTCTAGAACCCTTCCTCTTAAATTTGTGTGCTTGAGGTGTTCTTGCTCTATATCCCACCATGATTCCCAACTTTTGTCAAGAACGATTCCTATGCCACCGCGGTTTCCCATCCACCGTTTCCAGTCAGTCCAGTCGTCCACCGTCTTTTGCCACTCAAACCCAGATGGGTTGAATATAAATGGAGCAAACAACCAGGAAGTCACCAGGAACCACATAGAAAATGTGATGTATAGATAAGTACTTGAGCTACGGTAAGAAGTTCCATAAACTTGATATACAACTAGTAGTATGACCAACTCCAGTCCCTTAACAAAATGGCTTCGCGAATATAGTCTGTAGTTTTCCGCAAATTTCGCATGGAAAACAACAAACCCTCGACCAGTTGCTCGGTACTTAGAGCCTCCATGCAAAATTGTCCTTCCAAAGTAATGCGCTTTTGTTCCCAGCTGAAACGTGAAGAAAACAGAGGCAAGCTGAAGCTGCATTATGATGAAATCACCCAAGGCCGTGCGAAACCCTTTTTCTAGGCCAATTTCCATAACCATTGGTAGAACCATCAGAAAACCTAATTGGAAAACAGATTGGGCTGCTAATGCCTGCTCAAGGGCATTGGACTGATGTACAGTTGCACTTTGCAGAATCTCTTTTTCTAATCCGCTCAATACCAGATAAAGACGCCCATAAAGGAACACATATACCGTGAGCACCGTTATCTGAAACAGAAAATACAATTTTAAAAATCCCAAGATTCCAACCATAAGTATAGGGCAGAGCTACAAAAGGAAATAACTATTTGAATGAGGAATTAGGCATACCATACTACTGAAATAGAAACCAACAGTGGTGAAGTAAAATGAGAGCATCCTGTAGAAATCAAACCGGCGTCCAAGTCGGTAAACGTCACGACTTAGTGTTTGTTCTCCATTACCATTCGCAACTTTGGCTTCAAAAAATGAAATCTGATTCATCCCTACATCACGCCCTTTCCCTGCTTGAATATACTCGTGATGTGTGATGTAACCCCCACGAAGAGTTGAATTGTACCCTGGATGTTACCATGATTAGCCATCACAAATACACAAAAAAATTTAGAAAACAAACGCTTGTTAAGATCGTTCTCTACCTGCAAAGATATCTTCGCTTAAGTTTATTATCTTTGAAGCCTTGCTAATGCCTCCCCTTGTGATGTGGAAGATTCTATCAAATATATCAGGATGGCCATAATGGAAACGCACCCTGTAAAAGAATCATAAGTAAGTTTTCTAACGAATCCAAGCTAGTTTTCTCTCCAGAACAAAAAGATTCTAACTATAATATAATCTATTAGGTTCAATGATGCAGGGACTACTACTTTTAAAGTAGGATTTGAAGATATAAAGGAAGGATTGGAAGGTTCTTTTCCATAGTCACAAGATATGAGAATACCTCAGAGGATTTGCCAGAACACGTTGGCCGATGGTTACGAAACTTGTTTCTTGATTCGACATAAACCAAGCAAGTGAAGAAACACTGCAGGGTCAGAAATAAGTCAGACGAGAACGATAAAGAAAACTATATATTCTGTGGAGGAGACAGACTCACAGACATGTACAATAAAAATCAAGAACGACCGAATGTATGAAGAATCTCAGACCTTCCAGTAAATATGTGTTCACGAAGACCCAAAATTGTAGGATTTCTCTTGCCACGTCGACCTTCATCAAATTCTTGTAGCACGTTTCTCATTTTGAAAGACTCTTCAAAGTAGTTGTCCTGAAATGGAAAAAAGGAAGGAGAATATATAGTTGGAATAAAAGAAATGGCTGAGGGATAGAGAGACGAAAGCTACCTGGTTCATGTCTATGGTCTGGAGTGCTTCACCGCGAGTGAAAATGATGGCATGGTTTTGATTCTCAGGTTTTCCTTCACCAATTTCAGTGGGAGGGCCGGGAAGTTTGATACGATATATTTCCTTAAAAATCAAGAGCAAAGTTCAGGACAAATAGGTGACTATATTTGGTTTTAATGTGGGACTGGCAATAAATTAGTAATATATAAACTTTATAAAATTTTCTTTGTGATCTAAAACGAGGTAAGCAAGGAAGTGGCTATATATATGAACTTATTAATGTAAATTGCCTTTGCATACCTCATCTAATTTGTCACATCCTTTGAGCAGCACAGAGTAGAATACTTTTTGTGATTTTCCATTAACTGTCTCCTCCCTTTCATCTATATAGGCAACACGCAAGGACGGATACCTAACCATAATGTATAATTAAAACTAAGCTAGAAGAATAAGCTTATGAAAGTTTCATTTCAAACACGAGAACTTTCTTACTTTAGCATGAGCTGTAAAATGTTATTGTAACAACTACGGTCCCGGCTTTCACTTGACTTTTTCTGGTTCCCATAGACCTGACATGACACGACATATGTGAATTTTAAATCTGCAAGAGCTCGTGCACGGTCAGTAAAAGCCTTTCGATCATCTTCATTTGATTCTGAGGGAAGAAAGCCACCATTGGTAGCTGCATGAAGTAAATAGAGTTCATATTACAAAACTTCGTAGCAAGCAAGATTAACTTTCCAAGAAGTTTTGACAACTAAATGAGGCAGTGGAAGATACTTAGACAGAGAAGGCCAAACCACAAAATCTGTAAAACATTCAATATATTAAGAATGGAGAATAAGTACAAACCGTTTTCTCCAGTGTATTCCTGGAAACATTGAAGTTCGAGAGCCACTCTGTAGTACATCATTCCCCTAACTAGCAATAGTAAGGAATATTAGCGATCGCAGAGCGAATACAACATATCAGAAAACCCTACATCGTTTTGATAGTGTATACCTGTCCTTGAAAGGGTCTGGCCTCTATAAGATACCCATTGGCGGAGTTGCTCTGCCTTGTCTTTCTCAGATAAATTCCGTTTCAAATCATTTACACGTTCGCAATAGTTTGACCATTCCTCTGTTATGCAGTCATTTTCATTCAGTAAACTTTAAATTTGTTATAAACACGTAAAAAAAAAAGCACCAAAATAGAAGCTTACCAGGATATATCCTCTGTAGGTAAAACAAAATAGTTATTCCATCTTCATTTTCCTTGTTCAGTTCTTCCTCCGAATAGAGAACATCCTCTTTGTAATAAGGAGTTAAGACACTAAACATATATTTTGGAAAACAATGGTTACTTGCTTTCAAGATCATTTAAAAGTAGTAAACAGAAGAAGACTCGGATCATGTCTAGGACCATTCTGACTTGTAGCTATCTTTTTTTTTTTTTTTCCTCATACTTGTATTTATCAAAGTTGTGATTCAACAGTATTTTTCTTGAGGTATTAAGCTATAACATGTACCTAAAGGATAACATGTCACGAACTCGGGGAGCAT